GGGGCGCGTGGTTAAGACCGTGACTGGGGGGCAGCCGCATCTCGCCCCTTGGTCTCACCCCGGCCACGCGGGTGGCGGGCGTGGCACAGCACCGGCCGCCTGGGGCGCACGAGGAGCCGGGACGGGCTGTCCTGGAGCTTGAGGGCGCGGGCAGCGTTCGCTCCAGCCACAGGCCGCCCAATTCCCCGCACGGCCGACGGCTCCTGGCGGATGCCTGTGGATTATCCGGAATTGAGCAAAGCGACGCCTCCTCTGCGCGCAGCCGTCCTGAACGTTACCGATCTTACGGACAGATGGTCACGTGAACTTGGAACCCGCCGCGACATTGTGGACGTGGCCAGTGCCTTTTTCTCCATTGACAGTGCTCCGGAGAGCCAAGAACAATTTGCCTTTACCTGGGAGGGTGGGCAATGGACCTTTGTGGCTTTACCGCGGAGCTGTTTGCATATGCCCTGGGGACTGGTGGCACAGGATTTGGCCACCTGGCCCAAACCCCCTACTGTGCACGCGGCCCATTGCATTGATGATCTCGTACTGACCTCTGATTCTCTTCCAGATTTGGAAGGGGGTGCCCTGGGCCTGCGAGAAGCCCTGGCGGGCTGGGGGTGCGCAGTCAATGAAGACAGTGCAAGGGCCTGGATAACCTGTCACATTCTTGGGTGTTGTCTGGCCGGGTAGACGGGAGTTATGCTCGATGCCGTTACTGATAAACTCCAGGCGTTTCCTGGTCCGGAGACGGTGGAACAGTTACAAGCCTATCTAGGCCTGTTAGGGTTTTGGCGAAACTTTATACCCCACATGGCTCAATTGGCAAAGCCCCTGCACCGGTTAGTCCGCAAAGGGGAAACCTGGGATTGGACCCCAGAAAGTGAACAGGCCTTTGTGGCCACTAAGCAGGCAGTGGCCCAAGCCCAGACCTTATGAGTAGTGGACCCTGCACTGCCCTTTCCACTGACAGTGCATGTGGACGGTGCAGGCTTCGTTGGAGACTGTGGCAACCGCGTGGGTCCCGGAAGGCTCCCACTAGCATTTGGTCCCAGCTGTGGAAAGGGGCAGAAGTCCGCTATTCCTTGATTAAGAAGCAATTGGCTGCTGTTCATGCGGCCCTGCATCACGTGGCAGGCCACGAACCTCTGCAAAGCCCTGGCAGTGACGCCGCAGACGCTCTGGCTCAGGCCTGACCACTTCAACAGATGCCGGAGCCGGCGCTCAGAGGTTCCTGGTTACATATGAAATTGGGCCATGCGGGGCGCATACCATGGAAATGGTGGCAAAAAGGTGAGGCCTCTGCTTGACAGTGGCAGACGCCAGGGACGTCTTAGGCCAGTGTCCCTGGTGTGCAGAACATCGCCCGTGCAGACCTCAGGTGCTATGGCGTGCAGGCCACGTTGAGCAGGGTGAGTTCCCGTTACACACTTGGCAAGTGGATTACGTTGGCCCATTGCCTGCAGCCACAGGCTTAAAATATCTCCTAATGCCGTTGACATGCCACGGGAATGGTCACCCGGACAGATCAGGAACATACTATACGTGCGCTAGAATGGTTGGCAGCCCAATATGGGATGCCACATGTCATTTACAGTGACCGGGGTACGCCGTTTGTAGGGCAAAAACCCAGGAATGGGCTCAGCAGCAAGGAATTGCTGTACCCTCTATTGTTGCTGTGGTCTCCGGGCCCAGGGCACTGCCCTATGGTCTACAGGACAGTCCCCCACGATCTGGGGGGTGAAGCGTCGAGTGTGTCAGGGAGGGCTTGTAGGTCTCGATGTCCCGTCCATTACCCCGACCATTCTGGACGTGCGCATGATGGTGACCTTATGTAAGCGTGGGGAGTGGAATGCAACTGCGCATGCAATATTAGTGCCCTGCTTGCTATAGTCTATGTAACCAGCACTGTATGGAACAAAAGGGGAATCATTCTCTCGATATCAGCTCCGCAGGCCTTC